CTTTGTCCCTGGTGGTAATCCGCTCGCTCTCAATGCCCCAAACCCTGGTATACGGTTTCCAAACAACGCTGGATTATCACCACTTTTGAGAGTGAAAACTGCCGGTAATGCCCAGCAGCCTGGTCTTCTGTTCAGAGTACGGTCTTTTGTTACAGGGCCCTGTTTCCTTTGTCCGAGTTTGGAGACCCCGGCCACCCATATAAACCATATGTCTCCGATCCCGGAGTCCCCGGTAGGAAGTGGTTAAACGAGTGCTCAATGAAACTAATTTAGGAGAACACTTACAACATGAATGCCAACTTCCAACCGTTACACATAACTCTGACCAAGGTAATAAAGGGTGCAAACTCTGAGCGCTTCTGCAAACAGATTGTTTCCCGATGGAGACAAGCGTACGCCATCCCTAAGAAATAAAGACAACTGAGACCTGATGGTGCAGGCAATATGCATGTACCAAGTGAGAAGACTGGGACCTAGCTCAACAATTGATGGTTCACCGTTTCCTTTCGATTGCTGGCTGAGAACGAGCTCTTTGTATTGGACCCGTGGCAAGACCAAATGAGTATGGAATGCAGAAATTGCCGGGCCAGGTCATGGAGAAGCACTGAAACCTTTTGGCGGAGGCCATATTCATCGATTCTAATCAAATTATTAGTGCCAACATGTAGCATTATCATTTTGGTTGCAATCAACTCATCCACCATGGTGTGAACATCGCACAACCCTGCACCCCCCTTGCTTTCCAGAACCTAGACTCGAACGCCCAAGGGTTGTTCTGCTCCGCAAACAATTGGATCGCCCAATATCCAAATGGCAACTGAGAAGGAAACCAAACAACACACAGGCCAGGAAAAACAACAGAAGTTGCACAAATTGAATGCTTGAGGTAAATGTATGCCGCGTTTGTTAAATGGGTTTGCCCATGCATTTCCAAGGATATTAGTGATATTGAAGAAGGGGGCACAAGTATGACAAGTAAGCCTGTGAACACCATCTCCCCTTTCCTGAATACCCAGGTAAGGAACTCCTTGTGTAGCTGCCCAGGATGCCGCCCCAATCCTGAAGGAATGACCCCGAAAATGATGCTTGTCCAAGCGAACAAATTGCAAAACTTTCCTCACAACGACATTGAACTGGTTTTGTGTAACTGGCTACCCATCAAAATGGTATAAAAATGTGCTAGCTTCCCATGGACGCATGTCCACGTGAGCAAGCACTGCAGGCATTGGGCAAACCTTTGGGTTGTCCGATTGCACCAACCGCACAAACTGGGGAGGATCGCATTGATTAGTTTTTGAGCAGTGGAGCCATAATGAGACGGACACATTCGGAGATTCTACATCACAGAAATGCACATCGGCTGCAGTGAGTATGGCCCACGGAACCTGAGTTTTTGATTGAGCTGCAAATTCACCGACTTGCATAAAGCCAAAAAAGGCAGAGAGGAGTATTGCCCGAAATAACTGGAATTCATAATGGGAAGCACAAACAACAGGGAGCGCATCAATCAGACGTGCAAGGGTATGCAATGATGTCCATTGTGGGGCAGATACGACGTCATCCCTCAATCAATTTAGTCACTAAAAAATCTTTTGTGGGGTCACAACCAAAATAACTTTATCACAGAAAGCAACACCTGACACATATGTAGCAATTGTCACTGAAGCCACATTTGCCAATGAAAACCATGCCACAAACTGGCAAACATCATCTATTGATGCTTGTGATCCATTTGACAAACAGTCATGGTGAAACTGGCAAAATGCCCTCCAGCCTATGGCATATGTTTTCTGAGCATTAGGAGCAAGGGCTGCCCCCAGTAAGCAGCCAATTTCACGATCTAGGTCTGTGCAAGAGGAGGGAGAGGAGTCATGACACTGTGCCACCAATTCTACAGCACGCAGCGCCATGACCAAAATGCTGGCACTTGCTACAAGAATGGGAGAATCTACAACCCGGAAAGTGACAGCCCTGTAAGTTATTGAAAGCAAAGCAAAAACTCATTTTGGCAATTTTCTTGGCTTGTTGAGCCTCTTGCAATAGCCTATGGCTACTCATGGACGTGACATTAGTGGCTGCTACAGTGAACCAGAGCTCGTAGACGAGATCGCCCAATGAACGCAACGGATTAAATTATTGCTTGAGCCGAAATTGCTCATCATGTGTTTGCCACGCAAGACCGGGAAATTGAATGGAAGCGAGCTGCATGATTTCCACGTATTTCAATAACTCAGCAAAGCACGATGTGTGCTTTTGTAAGTAAACCGCCATGTACGTGCGGAACACAGACTTTCCCCATCTTCGATTTTCTTCTTCACTGCGCTAGGTTTACAAACAACCAGGTTCTCTTTTTCTATGGACAATGTAAGATTCTGCTGCGATTGCTCTGACCTAGACAAAACTGTGTTCGCTAAATCGTGATACAAAAGTGAAAAATCAACAAAGGCCCCAGCCCAAATTTTTTCTTTCACGGCCTGAGGCAAATGAAGCCCCAGTGGAGTTAGACACCTGATGAAGAGGTTCTGGGTGATCAAACTGACTGAGGCTAAATGGTAAGCCCACATCCATGGCCCTATTGTCCCCTCGTCTGACAACGTCTTGCGGATTGCACTCACCACCCGAAGCAGATGGGCCTACCTCACCCAGTTAAAAGTGCTAGCTGTCCCACTTGCCACTGATGGCTGGCGATGCCGATGGGACCTGGAGTGTACCCGCTATCACTGGTGAAGACCCGTCGGCGATGATGCCAACAGAGGAGCAGCCATCCCCATTGTCGCGGTGCAGGGGTGCTGCAGTGGAGCAAACTGGGACAAAAGGGGGTGGTCACCAGTCCCGAGGCCACTCTTGTGGGTGGCAAGCCAGGCGGGCCAAAACTTAGTGTCGACGTCGAACCACACAGTGTTGCCAGGGGTACAGCCAACCCATAGTGTAGAGCAAATAGACGGTGTGGTAGTGAAACTGCAATCGGTGGGCGAGCCCCTGCTGCAGCAATAATGGCCGGACCACACTGAACAGAAGATGGGGCAGACGCCACTGCTGGGGCAGAAGTAGCCGCTGACGACCCCGATCCATCGTTGCCTACTGGTCGACAAGCCGCCAGGGTACTGGCCAGAGTAGCAAGGAACTGGTGTTGCCCATTTTTTGGGGCTCCTCTTGCCCTT